AATAACGAAAAATTAACAACTGATTTCCATGGAATTCTTTTTGATAATAGGCATTGGACATTGGCGTAACATGATCTTTCTCCGATTTATTCCTCGTATTTCGACTTGTATTTATAAAAGTCGAATACGTATTTCACAGAAACCATGAAGATTTTTTTTCTATACAAATAAAAAGTCTATTCCCTTATAATTTCATTTCTATGCAAAATCTAAATTACATGTTAAAACGATTAAATAAAACCGAACATAGTATACTGATACAATACAGAGTCCGTCGCTCACTTTCTGTGCGACGGTTCGGTTCACCTCTCTGCTTTCGGGCGGGAGGAACCCGAAGGAGGCTACGCCGAAGGGCGGAGTCTCCTTCGGGGAGGTAAATTGGCCCTGAACCCGTTTATACGGGTTCAAATTGGGCTATTTTTTTTTGCCGAGCCTAATGGCTCGGAAATGCCCACGTTAAAAAGGCCTTTGTGCCACATGACGCCCTCGTGGGGGGACGACTAAATATAGTATACTGATACAATATCTTGGCTTGCGCTTTCCAATCATCTACTGGCACACTTTTGGCAGTGTTCAAAATTATCTGCACTTCCGGCTACGTGGGTGATAATTTATTCTTCACCCTAAGACACCTCTTTCGTGATAAACGTCACAAGCCTCTCGATACTCTACCTTGATTTCCATTGAAAATACACTGACCTTTAGATCAAAACTTTACATCTAACACCATCCAAGCTATGTACACAGGATCGAAACATCCTGACGCCCTTCTTATTTCAATGGCAAGATGAAAATTTTATACGGGTAGGTCCGTCCCAAAAGACGTAAAACGTTGTGCAACAAACTGCCGAGAGGAAACTTCAACAATTACAACAATCTTCTGATATGTCCCGGAAAGGGATATATTTGAACGAAATAGCTAAGTGGTTTTTGGCTACTATAACCAAGTAGAATACGGTAGCAGTAATCGACTGGTACGCATCGTACTCGCAGGTAAGAAGTGTAGATCAATGGCGTAGTCCAATGGGCGTCGTTATAGACTTAGCTCTCAGACTGGGACTCTGACTCTCCTACACGTCCGTCGGTATTTATGACGGACACCAGCCAATCATATTCCAGTGAGAGGGGAACACAGGTGTACGCATATTCCATTATATCGTCTTCTATCCTATATGTCCTCATAAAATGGACATCTTACTTCCTCTTCTTATGTCCATATGACAACCTCGCCTAGTAACCATCGACTTTGAGTGAATCTTTTGTCTTGTATGGGGTTAAAGTAGTCAATAAACTCCTGCGAGAAATAATTATAATGTGGCCTGGAAAGATCTATAGTTCACTTTTACTCCATAGGAAAATGTTTACTTTTCAAAGTCCGTTGAGGTGTTTATTGAGCTAGCCAATATCTAGGTGACGATTTTGCGGTAATGGCAGTTAAGGAAATTGAAAGGAAAGTGGGCAAGGAAGTCAAAACTCGAGATATCGGCGTAAAGGCCTGAAAGCTATGAAAAGGCAGTTATAATTTTCATCGGGAAATTGATTGAATGCTTGCGGATGGACAAGACAAATGGTCAGGGATTCTCGTTAAATAATCATAAAGCGATTGTGATGGAGATAGTGATAGAGAGAAGGGGAGAGAGAGTGAGTGTGGGATGAATAAACCTAATATAGCTGAAGAAATCAAGACAGATAGATAGATAAACTGAGATACATACATACATATATATATATGTGTGTAAAATACATATATATATATATATATATATATATATATATGTCAAATATATATATATATGTCAAATATATATATATATACACATACATACATACATATATATATATATATATATATATATATATATATATTGTTTGTAAGTAAGGTCTGATGATTCGCAGTCTTTTGAAACGGCGGTGGTGAAATAATTTATAACATAGTATCTTAACGTGTTCTGTTTTTATTTAAATAATATATATATATATGCGCAATTTTTATTTATATAATATATATATATATACGCAATTTTTTCTATATATTATTTATATATTATATATACATGGTATATATATGTATTTCAGTCTCTTTCTTTATATATTATGTAGTATGTATTTCAGTCTCTTTCTTCATATATATATATATATATATATATATATATATATATATATATATATCGTTCTTTCTTTGTATATATCTCAGTCTAGTCATCTATGTATTTCAGTCTCTTTCTTTATATATACCATTATATATAATATATAAAAAATTGTTGTGTGTATATATATATATATATATATATATATATATATATATATATATATATATATCGGACAATATAAGTCGTCAAAATTTTAAATGCAATATTGAATAACTATCTACTGTTCTCCTAACTACTCTGTTTTGCTCTTACTGTTTATTATTTTTTCTGGTGTCTAATACTCCTACATTCAACAACCCTTTGTGTTTTAGTGGCTTTATTGCCTTCCTTGATGTGATCACGATTGAAAA